TCCAGACTCATAAGATTTTATTTTCTTATTTAAAAATGTATTGCATTACAACATCATATTATTTTCTAATTGTCAACTTATACTAAAATCTTGTAAATGAATAAGCTACTAAATGCCAGAATATTACATTCTCTCCTCTTAAAGGAATTTCGTTCCCGAAATTCACATACCCCACATCAAGTGTGGATATCCCGCATAATCTAGATATATGCCAAAATCAACGCAGTTAACATAGACGGTTCCTTTTTAGTGCTATCGATCAATATGTGTGGCACTAAGAATTTTTGCAGTATATCTGCACAGATCAATTAAATCGAGTAACATTCTGTAGTGATTCTATATATCAGTAGTATTCATCAATAGTATACTATTTATACATGCATCACTTTCCACAGGATAATAATTTAAACTCTAAAACAGTGTGAAATAAAGCAGCTAAAAGCGGTGAAAAAGTGGCCACTAAGCTGTAGGCCACTAAGCCTTGGTATTAAGTGTTGGCCTTGATTTGGCCAATAATGGAGATTTGGAGGATTTGTAGAGGTAGAGGAGGGTTTATAGGAATTTTGGGGAGAAGATTTTCTCTATTTTCTTCATATTACAAAATATCTTTACATGACAAACTCATTTAACCATAGATTCCCACATCATTTCTGAGATCAAGTCCTAGCCATTCATTTGGCTCTTCATGACAACTCAAAAGCATGTGTAAGTCACATGACCCAACTTAACACTAACTCAATTGACCCATTACAACTATATAACATAAGACTTAAATAACTTAACAAATGATACACTAACAAAGCATTACAACTTTAACACTCTCCTTTAATGCTTTGTCCTTGCATACCCATGAGCTCTCTAAAATACTCAAAGTTGTCTTTGGGTAGTGCCTTGTTGAAAATGTCCGCCACTTAGTCTTGAGTCTTCAGATACTTCACTTGAACTTCTCCATTTTCCACCGCTTCTCTCGAACAAAATGAAGCTTGATTTTGATGTGCTTGATGCGGTTGTGAAAAGTGGGATTCTTTGACATTGATTTGGTGGATTTGTTTTCGCAAAAGATTGTAGTAGTTTCCTCTTGTTTTTCACCAATATTTTCAAGTATCCTTGTCAACCATATTGCTTGTTTACTTGCCATAGTGGCTGAAACATATTCAGCCCCAGCAGAGGATAATGCCACCATTTCTTGCTTCTTTGATGCCTAGGAACATATGCCAGATCCGAGGGTGAATGCATACCCTGATTTGCTTTTCATGTATTCAACATTTTCGACCCAATCAGTATCGTAAAACTTAAATAATTTAGGAATCGCACTTTCATTTTTCTTGTACAAAATCCCAAAGCTTTTGTTGCCTTGGATATATCTCAACACTCTTTTTGCACCACTAAAGTGAATTTTACTTGGCTTTTGCATGAATCATGACAACAAGCTTGAAGCATACATAATGTCGGGCCTTGTAGTAGTGAGATACATAGTGCTCCTAATCAAGCTTCTAAACATTTATGTATCAGCAAAACCACTTCCGTCTTCTTTCATAAATTTCTCATTCATATCCATGGGTGTTGGAAACTCATTGCAATTCTCCATTTCAAACTTACGAAGAATGCTCTCGGCAAACTTCTTTTGGGAAATGAAAACACATTTACTTTGTGCAACTTCAATACCTAGAAAGTAATGAAGCAAACCCATATCGTTCATTTCATATCTTTTCATCATGTCACTTTTGAAGTCTTGAAGCATTTGCATATCACTAACAGTATAAATCAAATCATTAACATGAAGAGAAACAATTAGTATACCGGAGTTACCTTGCCTTTTGATGTACAGGGTTGGCTTTCTTTGAAAGCCCTTTTCATTGAAGTATGCATCAATTTAGCTATACCATGTTTGAGGTACTTATTTCAACCCGTACAAAGCCTTCTTCCACTTGTAGACTTTGTTTACTCGGCCACTTTGGATATAGCCTTGAGGTTGCTCTACATGGATTTTTTTCTTTCAACACTCCATTCAAGAGTGCCGGTTTCACATCTAGTTGATGTAAGGACCGCTCTTTGTGTGCCGCCAAAGTAATGTGTCTTAATAGTGTCTTGTTGGGCAACCGGTGTAAATGTTTCATTGTAGTCAACTACGGGCTGTTGAGAATAACCTTTCGCCACTGATCTTGCTTTATACCTTTGAATGAAACCGTCGACATTGTGCTTTGTTTTGTAGATCCACTTGAGGTCAATGACTTCTTTGTTTTTTGAGCTTTTCCACAAATTCTCAAGTTTTTTTTCTCAATCACCTTTATCTCTTCTTGCATGGCTTGTTTCTATGCTTCTTTATCTTTGGCTTCTTCATAGCAGCTTGACTTCACAACACAAAAGTTACAAGTAGCGTTAATGAACTTGAGCTTGCCTTTGATGATGGGGTTGCATTTAGAAATGCTTGAATTAGCACTTCTTGTAAATCTTCATTTTCTTCACTCTTTTTTCTTGGGAAGTTTCCTCAACAATTACAACGCCTTCTTGTTAATGAACTTGAGCTTGCATTTGATGATGGGGTTGGATTTAGAAATGCATGAATTAGCACTTCTTGTAAATCTTCATTTTCTTCACTCTTTTTTCTTGGGAAGTTTCCTCAACAATTACAACGCCTTCTTGGACATTTTTCTCTTTCCAATACCATGAATCTTTCTCATTAAAGAGCACATCTCTACTTATGATCACTGGTTTGTCTTCAAGCTAAAGAGCCTGTAGCCTTTTAATTTTAAGATATAGCAAATAAAGATGCATTTTTCATTAGTTTCATCAAGGTTACTTCTCTTTTCTTTTGCAGCATGAGCATATCATACACAACCAAACACCTTGAAATGATTCGCCGAAGACTTTCTTCCACTCTATTCTTTAAATGGTGTTTTGTCTTCATGAGCTTTTGTTGGACATCTATTCATCAAGTAGGTTGTCGTGTACACTCCTTCGGCCCAAAATGAATTTGGAAGACCCTTACGCCTCGTTTGGTACGCGGGAATAGAGTTAAGTGAGAATAGAATGAAGATATGAATGGAATGGAATTGAGGTGAGAATGGAATCTTCATTCCCATTCTCATGTTTGCGTGCGATTAGAGAATTAAATGAGAATATCTTTAAGAAGGGTATATCCGGAATTTATTTTATTATTTTCATTCTCACTTAAGCGGGTATATTAATTCCTTGATAACTCATTGAGAATAACAATTCCCACACTAAGTGGAAATTGATGAGAAGCGAGAATGACATTTCTAGCATTTAAAAATATATCATGTTTGGTAAGCATGAATGAGAAGTTAGAATTGCATTCTATTCCCACTCGTTCTAGCGTACCAAACGAGACATTAGCTTTGATCATGGATTTCGCCATCTCCATAATGGTATGGTTCCTCCTCTTGACCATTCCATTTTGTTGAGCTGTATATCCCATGTTTAATTGTTTTTGCGAGCCAACATCTTCACTAGCTTCATTCTTGCATTGATTCAGAGTCCTGATCCACTTCAGACCAGAGCCCTCGCCCCGATCCCCATCAATTGGTATCATAGCAATGTCATTTGTCCACAATTATCATGTGTAAATATCCACTTCCTCCATCACAACAATGCGAATTTAATCCTTTGAAAATTGGTAAATAATTGGCAATTCTTATTTTTATGGATTTGATGGATATGAGGAATAATATGATTTTGAACTATGGCTACAAGAACTAGAAGATTTATTTACTATTTACTATTTACGATTTACGATATGTCGGATTGGGAAATATATATGTATACGAAGTGTAGGTTAAGAGGAGATGTTGAAGATTGGTTGTTTCATAATGGTTCTAGTTATCGATCATATATGTCTTGACGGGCAACTATGAAGATTATGCTTGAAATGAAGTATTCTAGTTATTTAACTAGAACTAGAAAATATTTTGTTTTCTCTTGAAAGCTTGAAGCAATGTCAACAACAATGGCCCAACTCTGTCACATACAAGATTTCACCCAGAACCAGAGTCAGAACCAAAGCCAGAATTGAAGCCTGAACCAAAGCTTGAGAGCAGAAATCAGATCCAGATCTTGAGCTAGATTTAGAGCCAGAACCTGAGCCTGAGTCTGAGTCTCAAATCCTCATGCGTGATCAGCCTGAGCCCGAGCCTAAAATCCTCATGCGTGAACAGAACACAATCAAATTCTAGTCACTTCCAGTTCGAAACAATTCGATGGACTTCGTTATACCAGGTCATCCTCCGCTTAACTTGTGTACTCCCATATATTATTTGATTAAGAGAATTGAACAACTAGACAGGAGTTTCTTATATCAGGTCTACGAAGATAACATCCAATTAATAACTCTTACAAGTCAGTTCACACAGAACCAGATCTATCCAACTCTGCTTATGCTATCTCCATATTCATTTTAATAAGATTCAACAATGTAGTCTTTGTCCGATCCAAACCTTCCTTTTTTTACAAATCATTATTGCAATCAGGAAACTGGGTATAAATATCCACAACAACCATCTTATGATGATCATTTGTCATTCTCTTGATTCTACAACCTCTAGTGCGGATTTTTTTTTTTCCAAATAAACCTGTTTGTAGCATAACCTGTCACATTATTGAACAAACTGTGTTTTGCCTTTATTTGTCAAGCGTACTGAGTGTCTTTGATACTTTGGCCTGCATATTGCCAATGTATACAATTTTTGTTTATTCTATTTTGCTTGATTGCTTAAAATGTATTGTACACTATTTAAGTTAGCAGTACACATCATTTTTTTTATCTCAGTCAGTTATTTTCCATAGTTTATGTCATCACTAGTCAGTTGGTTGCACTTTATTCTTCGTTGTCTCATGCATATTTAACATCCAATTTCTAAAGTTTTTAAGTTATTGAAAATATTAGGCTGCTTTGTTTGTTTTCCCATTACTGCCTAACGGTGTTTTTTTTTTTAAATAATTTTCCTATTTTATATTACATATGCATCAATTTATTTGTGTAGGCCAGCCCAAGCAATATCCTTAATAATACAGTTCCATCTACAGCATCTGTGCGAAAGAAAGCTACACTCCAGAACTTACCAAGTCTGGGACGAAACAATTTGGCAACAGGGTATTCAAAAGGGAGCAACGGTGGTTCCAAGCCTTACCAAGAAGCTACTGGTAGTTATGATGCCAAATTAGTTGAAATGATAAATACAGCCATAGTCGACAGAAGCCCAGCTGTTAAATGGGATGATGTTGGTAGGAGATTATGAAATTATTTCCACTTTTATTTGGAAAATTGTATGAGAGTTGTTATAGAAAGTCCTTTTGTGTGCAGCTGGTCTTGACAAGGCAAAACAGACACTTCTTGAAATGGTGATTTTACCAACTAAAAGAAGTGATCTATTTACTGGCCTCCGTAAGCCAGCTAGAGGTGAGCCTTCTAAAAGATATTTTCATAATTATAATTAAATAATCTAATATCCAATTTTTTAGTTCTTCATGCTCCCAATTCCATTTCTTTCGTCTTTCTTTGGGATTTTGGTGTTTTATACTTTTTTTTTGGTATTTTCATGTTGGTGGAAAGTGGTTGTGCCGCATAATCTTGATCATTCATGGGAGAGGGTTAATTAAGATTCCTTGAAAGTTATAATAAATTTGAGTTCACACGTGCATTCAGGGCTGCTCCTCTTTGGTCCTCCTGGTAACGGGAAAACAATGCTTGCAAAAGCTGTTGCCTCAGAATCGGATGCAACATTCTTTAATGTTTCCGCTTCTTCTTTAACATCAAAATGGGTTTGTTGTTGTCAATTAGAAAATCATCTCTTGTCATTGACATTTCAAGTGATGTAGATCATAACATATCTAAATTACATTTGGTGATATAGGTGGGAGAGGCTGAAAAGCTTGTTCGGACTCTTTTCATGGTTGCTGTTTCGAGGCAGCCATCTGTTATTTTCATGGATGAAGTAAGTTACTTCCCTCATTGTTTTTGCTACAGATGTTGAGTTTTATGTAATGTCGTTAGGATATGTATGTTTTGTGCGATCATTTTGTATTTTCCCTTGTATCATAAGGATACGCAGCTCTTGTTTATTTGTTCTTATATATCTTTTCCAAAAGCCATCACTGTCAACCATTTATTTTACAATATTTAATAATCATTGTAGGTTTGTTATGATCAGCATACACCTAACCAGAATATTGTAATACGAACTAAAAACACAACATAGAAAAAGGTTATGGTCAGCATACACGCAACCACGCAACCAGAATATTGTAATGCCAACTAAAAACACAACATAGAAAAAGATTATGCACTATGTTCAAGAAGAAAAGAGTAAGAGAGGTACCAGATCCAAGGTAGTCGCTTGTCTCAAATAACTGATCTACATTCACGGATAGCTTCTGTTCTCAAATCTGGTGTCCAGGGAGATTCTCGGTTTCCATCTAAGATCAGAGAGAGGATCTGGCCTCAGACTTAGGTTAGAAGGATGGATCGGTCCTCATAACAGGTCAAGTTGGATCTCCAGTGGCACATGGAGACAACGGGTCAAGGCAAGGGTGGTGATGGCTGGTGAAGGCAGTGATGAAGGTAGCAATGATGGCAGTGGGTAAAGGTGATGACGTGTGGAGACAACTGCAACGGTGGATTAGGATATGGTTTTGGCTCTTCATGCTTGATTCCATGTAGTGAAAAGGAGTAAAGAAAGATACTTTTTCCAAAAAACTCTAATCTTTTTTTTTATAGAGATTAGAAGGATATTACAAAACAGACAGATATAGACATATCTCATAGTACCTAGTAATATCCAATAATATCTCATAGATTAGTGTCAAAGGGTATACATAAACCTACGGCGCGTGTTTCTTTGAGACCTTCAGCGATTGCTTGCTTGAATTCTATACATATTATTTTCACTATAGCAGTCAAACAGGGAGTGATTATTTCTGAGAGAAATATGCAATTTATTGCAAAAGACTAGATTGGTTGGCTATAAACCTCAGAAGGCTTTTATAGATATTGAACCTGATTTTCTTTATCGAAGAGGGTGAGAGTTTGAGAGTGTTGGGAGATATAGAAGACTAGTTTGTAAATTTATTTATCTGATTATAATCAGATCATGTTAGTTTATGCATAAGCCGAAGGTAGTACATTGGGGACCTGCACTAAGAATTCTAGCATATGTAAAAAATGCACCTGTAAAAGGGTTCATTTATATGAAAAATAGGCATGTAGTCATTAAAGCTTATTCAGATGTAGGCAATGCATAGGATAGAGGAGATAGAAAGCCAATTTCGGGATACTGCACTTATGTGGGTGGAGATATAGTTATTTGGAGAAGAAGCAGAATATAGTGTCTAGATCTAGTGCAAAAGCAAAGTATAGTGCCATGACAACTATGACTTGTGAGATGATGTGGACGAGAACTTATATGACAAAGCTTGGTTAAATTTATCCAGACAACTTCCTATGCATTGTGACAATTAGACAACACTTTATATTGCTAGCAATCCAATATTTCATGAAATGATCAAACATATCATCTCAGAAGCCATAGTTTCCATGGCGCTATACTCTGCTTTTGCACTTAGATCTAGACATGGATTATCATTTTGTCAGAGATGATATGTTGGGAAAGAAGATATGTACATCATAAACTCCATTTGAGCATATCTTTACCAAAGCTCTTTCTTCTAGTGTTTCTATATCTACGGATTGCAAGCAAAGCCATTCGCTCCTTGAGGTATAAGCTACGTAGATGACTAGGTACTATATCTACGCGCGTGAGTAGGTATGGGAGATATGTGTATGTACCTAGTATATAGTTAGATAGAGGATAGAGAGAGAGAGAGAGAGAGAGAGAGATATTAATGAGTATCCTTGTCATAGGAGGGGATTTCCTCCTTGACGCTTATGTGGCACAATCCCCACCATCCTCATAAAGTAGGAGAGTGTGTGAGTTGGTGGGGATTTGTGCCTACTTTATGAGGATTGTGGGGATTGTGCCACATAGGCGACAATGAGGGAAATCTCCTCCTATGACAAGGATACCCATTAATCTCATACACACACACACACATTCTAAGATCAAAAGTGAATAATATATTAAGCTCAGGAACGGGAAGAAAATGAGCAAAGAAAAGTAATCATGTATATGCAATACAGAAGTGCACTGAAAAGGTCTACAGAAGGCAAAATCATTTGACAAGGTTCACTGAATGCAATAAACCAGGAATGAGCAGCCTGCAAGCTCCAAGTAAAGGATAGCATTACTATCGTATTCAGAAGATACTGATTAGGTAATACTTTACATTTTGAAGGACCAACTCTTCTTAGTTTAAGAGACATCCAAGGCCAGTAGAAATTACTTCTCTATTCTACTTCCAGCTCGGTTAATTAATGGTGAAACCATACTCCCACTTACAAAGAGAGAGTAATAGTACCATGTAGGCTATAAAAACAATCAAAATACCTTTACAGGGAAAATATCTGAAAAACCAGGAATTACCAATTATTTGATGTTCCATTCACAAAAGCATACCATACTTCATTACTACAGCAACAGGAGGTGTAAATTGATCATTACTTCATGCATATAAGAAGGAAGCGTAAGTTCAGTAAAGTCTATGAGCAGTGTACTATAATTCCAGGGCTGAAAGTGGATGTAACAAAATATATGGGGTTTGCCATTAATCAGCAAAAGATTTATTCAACTTGAATACTCTCTGGAAAACAGCACAGAAGCTTCAGATACAGTAATAGACAAAATACCGAATCTAGCTATCTCAATTAGGTCAAAGATGCAGCAGCTCCTGTATTTTCTAGATGAGATGCAGTGTCCTGGTTCACATGAGAATTTTCTAAATTCCACATGGGATACAAAATAAAACGAGATTCTACGTGGAACCACTAACCAGGTTATTCAACACAAGAAGGAAATATATTTATAGCCCTTTAATCAAAAGAGCAGCTTTAAGAAGTCAGTCGTTTGGATAGGGCTAGATAAGCTGTACTAAACATATTTTCTATCTCTTAGCATAAGTTAGGTTCTTCAGATAGTCTTTTCTTTTGTTGAGGATTCAATGTATGACTGACATTAGCATACAATCTTCTTAACCAGCAAAGTAAAAAAAAAAATCAACCATCTCTTGATAAATGTCTTATATTTTCATAATTCAATGACTCACATGTTAATACATTCATATTCGCCAGAAAAGTAGACATCTGTAAGTTATATATGAAGGTAGGTACATAGTTATATCATAAAGATACAAAACTACAACAGTTTTGAAATATGCTAGAATTATAACTAGTTTATCCTGACACATAAGTATTACGCTATTATAATTATTAAGCTTTCATTTGGATTCACTACATGAGCTAAATAAACAGTAGGGATTGGGAATAATAGAAACCCAATATTGCTATTAGAATTTAGAACTATAACTCTTTTTAAGCATCACACTTTTATTTGGAAGTAGTTGTTCAGAACTAAAATTAAGATCCAGGACCATGATATCACACTTTTAAGAGGTGTTAAGCTTAAGAAGGGCCACCAGCAACTACGTATGAAGGCTCTCCTACCATGAATCGTCTGTTTTATTTTCTTTCTGCGTTGTAGTAAATGATAGAAGTTATTTGACTTGGTCTGCAAGCATCGCAACCACTGTACTGCATAGTTCATTATCGTTGATAGAAACCATCAGAAGCACATAACTTGTTCAAACTCCTACGTATCTTCTTTCACAACTCACGCTTGCAAGTGCTTTCTCTTTGTTCGCTGCTCATTCTCTCTTAAAAGACGATGGAAAGGGCACAACTCTGCAAAACGGGCCATCACTTGCTAGAATATTGGCTAGACACAGACTCATAACTTCCTACAGGCAGAGTTCGCACTTCGCTGGCATAAAACTGGACAGAGGACTACCTATCATCTGCTATAGCACCAATCATTGATGGAAAAAAAGTAACAGGGTTTATTCTTTGCTTATTTCCTTCCTTATTCCTTCCTTATTTCCTTCCTTTTCTTTTTCTTTGATCTCAAGATTCCAATCATGTTTGAATAATAATAATAATAATAACAATAAAAGAGAAATGATCCTGTGACGAACCGGGTGAATATAGGAACCTTATCAGCTAACAGCTAGGAGGAGTGTAGGTTTAAAGAAAATAAACCAGCGTCTCTAACTTGAAACACATCATCCTAAATTTAGAAGCATGTCCATATAACTTGAATCCAGACGGACACATGAATAATGCTTCCTATATTCCTAGTTATGGTCTAAGCCCAACTTCCGGATTCAATTTAAGTTTAATCCCGCAAAATTTGCCGATGGCACAAGATATACTGGTCAAAGCAACAAAATTCACTCCCCGTTGTAGACGTCAAAAAAATACCGAAAGATATCCAAATACAGCTCAAGAAGGAATTCATCCAAAAAGTCAGAAAAAATGACATAGACCGTCTCGCACGCGAGACAGACTTTGCTGTCTCGCACGCGAGACAGCGTTTGCTGTCTCGCACGCGAGACAGCGTTTAAAGGCTCAGAAACTGTTTTATAAACCGCCGACACGTGGCCATTAACTGTCAAAGAACATGGGGAACGTCGTGGGCGAGAATCACGTGAATAACTACCAAAATAACGGAGTTTGAAAACGTGGGAAGGCAGTTACAACGAAAACTGCGAGAAAGTTACTGTTCCCGAGACAGTATTTACTGTCTCACGGGCCGAGACAGTCTTTACTGTCTCGGAACCTGAGACAGTCTTTACTGTCTCGGCCATCGAGATAGTAAACACTGTCTCGGAAGCACTGTTCATCCTAGAGGCTATAAATACCCTCCGAGATCGATTTTTTTTAGGGGGGCGGATCAGAGAGCATCCACAGGCTGATTTCAGAGTAGAGAGGGCAGAGTACTCGAGCTTTGAGCAATTCCTTGAGATTCAGGCTTTGACTTGATTTCAAGAAGAACGACTATCTTACCTTGATAAGATATCGTTTCAAGTTCTCACTTCGATA